TGCTGTAGAACAGTCAAGCTCTTATCCGATGGCTTCAAATGCTAATATAGGTCGTGGAGCTTCATAAAACTTTGCAGCATTCGATATGGTCGGGATAAATTTTTGCACTGATTTGATTTTTGTTTCGTTATCTTTCATCTTTTTTATTTAGTTCAATATGGCTTATAGAGAATCAGTAAGGACCTGTTCTCTTTGCCGTTTTCTGTTTTTGATTATTCAATACAGTGAAAACTCGTTCTCTTTCCTATTTTCAAAAACGCGTTTTTGAAAATAAGTTAAAAATCTACAAAGAAAACCCAAAACGACAATTTGTTGTTTTGAGTATTTTCAGTTATAATCAAATCAAAATTTTCAAAACGCATTTTGGGTGGTTTCAAAACAATTTTTCAAAATGTCAAAAAGTCCACATTTTCAACAATTTTAAAATGGACACTCAAAACATAAAATTCAAAATAAATTCAAAACTCAAAACACAAATAGAACATCCCCTAATAGTTTCAGAAACTCTTTTCAGCATAGTAAAAATTTTCAAAATGTGTTGAAAGGATGAGAAAAATAAGGAGTAATATTGAGATGATAAGTACACCACAATAAATTTTTTCATTTATAATATTTATCTGATTGGGAGTATATTTATAAATTTGTTGTTGTGTATCTATTAAAACTAAATTTTAATTGTAGTGTGGTTATAACGTAGTGTATTAAATAAATTTTGTGGTGCCAATCAATTTTGAATTCGGCCCAAAATCAATTGGGGGCCAAATGGATTTCTTTGCTTTTCCAATCATTTTTCAAACATGATTCAGGATTTCATGGTGATGGAACTAAACGTTTTGCTAGTAAACAACGGCGGCATTAACAGTGTGCACATGGATTTTGACGTTAATCTCACATAGATTAGAATTGTTTAGAAATTTTAATGACGAAATTGGAATGAAATAAACTTTAAGGATCAATTTGAAATGTTGTTGCAACTTCTTGGGATCAAATCCGTATATAACCTATTTCCTTTAGGTTTTCTATTTTCTCCCCGTGTACAATATTACATGCCCGCCTTGTGCAAAAATTATTGTAACTAGAATATTCACTATGTTAATTTACTATCGGAAAAGTTGCAAGCTCTAAATAAAGGAAAATGATATAAGTACAGGGCCACACAGTGATACGCTAAGACATTTTGAGTTACAGGCACAATCAAACCTTATACAGATCGAATATTTTGTTCTTAATTTTTGAATGATTAATATTTTTTCCCAAAAAGATGCAAATTTACTTTTAAAAAATATTTCTTCATTAATATTTTGCTCATCATTTTAATCGATTTGATTTTGAACAATCATTTTATTAATATTTTGTTCATCACGTGAAAATACCTATTTATGTTTAAAGAATTTAAAGAACAATCAAATCAAGTAATCAAGAAGAAAAACATATAACCAATATTCAATACTAATAATCAATTAAATAAACACAATTCGACATAATCATTTCATAGACATTCTATATATACAACTTGATAGGAGAAAATCCAAATTTAGGTTCTAATTTGTTGAAAATTTGATTGTGAAGTGAAAATTTGTAATAAATATGATAATTTTTAGAAAAATTGTAGACAAACTTTTAAAAATTAAAAGGGTTAAGGTTTTGGTAAAAGGCGTGAGGGAGAGAGTCGCGAAAAATAAGAGAAAAGGGAAAAAAAATTCAAATGTATTGTGATTTTGTCCTATTTGATGGAGATTAAAGATTTTGATAAAAGTTGAAAAGTTATGAATCTCATGAAATATGTTATTAAAATTAATTGTTAACTTTTATTTAGATTAAAACTTAGATTTTAATCCATACCAAATAAGACTTTAAAAAAAATCCAAAAAGTTGGGGGGTCATGTGATCCTGACCTATGTTTGCCCCTGGGGCGTTACATGGGAGATTTGTAGCTTGGTTCGTAAATAACAAATATACTATTGAATTTTTAAGTAGTTCCCGGGGTCGCAAGAGGGCTCATTACAATGGATTTACTGAAAGCAAAACCAATAAACTTGTGGCAATGGATGACAATTTTGATCTTAACTTACCTATTGGTATTGCTGATGGCGAAAAGGATGTTGTTGGGATAACCAACGGTGGTTCAAGACTAGGCAGGAGCCCAAGCAGGATGCGATGATCGTAGATTGAGAAACTAACTCGATTCACTTCACTGACGAACCCAAGGTAGTCCTGGGGGATCATGTCACCCCCCAACTTTTTATTATTACTATTTTTTTTTTTTTGATAAAGCCATGTTTGGTATCGATTGAAAATATAAATTTTAATCTAAATAAAAGTTAATAATTAATTTTAATAACATATTTCATGGAATCCATAAATTTTCAAATTTTATCAAAATTTACTAAAAATCTGATTTTAATTCCCACCAAACAAGAGCAAAATCACAATAAATTTGAATTTTTTATCTTCTCTCTTGCTCTTTCTTACTCTCTTCCTCACGCCTTTTACCAAAATTTAAACCCTTTTAATTTTTTAAAATTGCCTATAATTTCTCCACAAATGATCACATTTACAACAAATCTTCAATTTTCAATCAAATTTTCAACTAATTAGAACCTAAATTTGTATTTTCTCGTATCAAATTGTCTATATAGAATGTATCTGAACTAATTATATTCAATTTGAATTATATTTAATGAATTGTGTTTATTTGATTGATTATTGGTATTGAATATTGGTTATATTTTTTTTTTCTTTCGATTACTAAAATGGATTGTTTGTATCAAATACACTGTAAATTTTTTAAACATAAATATATATTTTCTTGTGATAAGCAATATATTAATAAAATGACTGTTCGAAATCAAATGGATTAAAATGATGAACAAAATATTAATGAAGAAATGTTTTTTAAATGTAAGCCTGCATTTTTTCGAGTTAAGTATGAATCATTCAAAAATCAAGAACAAAGTATTCGATTTGTACCAGATTTGATTGTGTCTCATAACTAAAAATGTTTGCGTCCGCCCCTACACATTTTCCATGAGGTGATGAGCTAACTGTGAATTTCCTTTTAGTTTCCATTCTTTGTGAGATATCATGGAACAGAAGTACAATGCTTTTACTTTGCTATGATACCAGCTTATTTGGATAATTTGGAGAGATATAGTTTGAAAATTTACTTCTTGTTTGCCTTACAAAATATTGAAACATGTGGTCCTATTTATACATACAAAGATGGCATAGGGACCAAAAAGAAATTTAAGACACTTGACTAGCAAAATGCACGAATGGAATTCAATGAGAAGATTAACTAGATTCAATAAATAAATTATTCTAGAAAATATGATGGTCAAATTCGATTTATTCAAACGCTGAAAACTTATCTAACAGTGATAGACAGATACCGACGAACAAAGCAGGTGAAGCAATCGAACAATTAGTGAAGGAAAGGAGAAAACGGCTGGTGGCATTGTCAACACGATCATAACTTACTGGCCTGCTACTGGATACGAGATTGCAGTTTGTGAAACTCGTTGCAATTATGTTCCTGGTCATTCTGTTCAGAGACCTAATTGGTCACACTAACTGTGGTAAACTTTAGTGTAAAAAACAGTATGAATGCCTTCTGTTTTGTTAGCAATATCTTCAGTTCGACCACATATCCGTTTGTATTCTAATAATAACTCTCTGTATGTCGATATTTTTAGGTAGTTTTGTGCTCTTTTGTTTCCCATAAATCATTAACTGTGTAAACTATAAGGACCTGTTTGATAGCACCCAATTTTCTAGGGAAGTTGGAATTCGTTTTCCATTTTCCACATTTTAGGCTGTTTTATAGGTTAAATTTTCTATAGAATTCATTTTCCACATTTACCTCATTTTCCACCAAATTCTTAGTTTTAAAGGAAAACCAATTCTCACCACCCTAAACCAATTCCCACCACATTGGTGAGAATAGGTTTTCCAGGCTACTTTTTCTATTTTATTTTTTTTTTGGCAATGAAAACAAATTTTACGGACAATTGTAAAAAAAAATTTCCCTTTAATGGACAATTTTCATGGAAAACAAAGTCAAACGAATACCAAAATTTCAACATTTTCCAGGTGGAAAATTATATAAATCAAACACAATTAATTACAATTTTCAGTAAAACAAATTCTAGACAATTCAATTTTCTGTAATTCATTTTCTTTTTACCCAAATTTCACATTTGCAATCAAACAGACCCTAAATCTCTATGAAGTCCACACATACTTTGCTGGATTCTGTACTAAAAACAGGTAATTTGAAATATATTTTCTATTATATTTTGTTGTAAAATTATCTCTCACTTCCCTTCATCTCATGTTTTTTTTTCTTCACTTGATGTTCTTCATTTGCTGATTGTTGATCTTGGGCCAGTGTAAATTGTTTGACTGAGTTCTTCATTTGCTTCGAGTGACTATGATGGTCTACCAAAATCAATATTTGAGAAGGTTTTCCAATTACTACTAAGTACTGTCACCATATAGTGCCCCACAATTCTTGACTTTGATTCCTATCTTTTAATGCATTTAATTAGAATAGTCAATTTCTCAACAACTTCATCATCAATATATAAGCTTTGTGGGGACACTTTTTTCTGAAATATCAAAGAAAGTATTGTGTGGTAACCATTTTGGCCAAAAATGAGTACAAGAAAAATGTACAGAAAATACACTTGCACGTTTTCTTTGGAAGAGAGAAAAAAAAAAGAATAGGATGCTGACGTGTTTTTTTCTGGTTAAGAATCCTGTACCTGTAGCTTTTTCTTTGGGCAAAAATGAGAATACGGACATTATACGGTAGCTTTTGATTTGATGGGAGGCTTTTTACGAAATTGTCTATCACTTCTCTAAAAAGAATTTTATTTGAAAGGGCAAATTAATAATTTAACCAAATTCAGTCAAAAACGTCGGCTCCCATGTCAGGCAATTTCAATGTGAATTCATCTAAAAATGAGGTAAAAATAGAACCAAACAAGTAGATAGATATGGATATGAACGCAGTGGAAGGAAGTCATGAGATTGTGATCGTTGGAGGTGGGATTTGCGGACTTGCCACCGCTCTTGCTCTTCACAGGTTACTCGAGCTTTTCTTTTGTTTAATTAAGCGAGTGGCAGAAAAAACTGGTTGAAGGGGGGCCTCGTTTCACTTGATTCGCTCCGTCACACCAGCAATATATATTCCTAATTTTGTTACAGTTTTTCTTTTGAAAAGTAGGTCGTATTGTTCTGATATTGATTGTTACTGAAAAATAAATTTGAACAAAACTCATGCAGGAAAGGGTTGAGAAGCATAATTTTGGAAAAATCAGAAACTTTGAGTGGCACAGGAGCAGCTATTGCCATCAGAGCTAATGGCTGGCGAGCACTTGAACAGCTTGGTGTCGCTTCAGACCTTAGACTGAAGGCTGTTACCATTCACGGGTATAAGAAATTTCACTTTTAACAACGAAAAAAATAGTCGTTGTTCAGTTGTTTGGTCAAGACTTGCCAAGACAAAAAAAATCCTGATTAGTCTCTGTGTGTGTGCCTCTTTGAAGAAGTGTTATTGTTTAGTTGTTTGCATATTGTACAGGTTGAGAGACATATGGATGGATGTAGGAAAGCAACAAGAAATACCAGAGTAAGTCATGAATCATAGATCTAATTCACCTATATGAACATCTCTAATCAATTAGCTATACAATTAAGCCACTGCTTGGTAGCCATTTTTTTGGAAAAGTATTGTTTGAAATAGTGATTTTTTTGGAGAATGTTTGGTTAAAAGTAGAAAACGGTTTTTTGGATTTGCGGGTAGAATATTTTATTGCGTAAATGTGGTTAAAATGAGTATGTAAAAACAAGTTTTTAAAGAATGCAAGACAAACAATAGCTAAATTCATTTTGATAGGGTTGGTGAGTGTCGTTGCGTGGAGAGGAATGATCTTATCAAAGTCCTGGCCGACGCTTTGCCACCCGGAACAGTACATTTTGGAAGCCCGATTATCTCTGTGAAAATGGACCGGGAAACCACGTATCCAACTCTTCAACTTTATGGTGAGAAATCAATACGAGCTAAGGTAATACAGAATCAATCTGAATTTTATTTACGTTAAAATATCATCCTTTATTCTATTGTACATCAATATGACCTGAACTTATACCTGGACATGCATAAGATGATTCTTGTCAAGAATAAGTGTGATGCCATTTGCCCCCTGTTACAGGTTCTGATTGGATGCGACGGATCCAGGTCGACTGTGGCTGATTTCCTTGGGCTCAAAAGTACAAAACTTTTTGCTGTTCTCGCAGTTAGAGGTTTAACCAGTTATCCAAATGGTCATGCATTTGATCATGAGCTCACTCGAATGAGAAGGGGCAAAATCTTGGTAGGACGAGTTCCAATTACTGATGAGTTAGTATATTGGTTTGTTGTTCTACCTTGGATTCCTTCAGGTGAAAATTTATTTAGTGTTTTCCTTTTTTTTTAAAGTATTCATCTCAATTCGTCCTCAGTTTTCCTCATTTCTACTTATAAACAGATGAAAAGTTGACTCGTGATCCAGAAGTGATCAGACGATTAACCTCAAGTAAAATGAGCGGTTTCCCAAGTGATGCAATGGAAATGATAGAAAAGGCTAGGGTGGATTCGTTGTCTCTGACTCGCTTGAGGCATCGTGCTCCATGGGACTTACTACTAACGACATTTAGGAAAGGGACGGTGACAGTAGCTGGAGATGCAATGCATGTAATGGGTCCATTCCTAGGACAAGGTGGTTCGGCTGCTCTAGAAGATGCTGTTGTCCTAGCCAGGTGTTTGGCACGAAAAGTAAGAGCTGAAGACTTGTCTAACTGTGGCAAGCAGATTCTGATAAACAAAGCTGGAGAAGCAATTGATCAATACGTGAAGGAAAGGAGAAAACGGCTGGTGGCATTGTCAACACGAACGTATATTACTGGCCTTCTACTGGAAACAAGATCATGGCTAGTGAAACTCGTCGTAATCATGTTGTTGGTCACTCTGTTTCGTGACTCAGTTGGTCACACCAAGTATGACTGTGGTGGACTATAGTGTAGAGGAAAGTAAAAATGCCAATGTGCCTTGTATTTGTTAGCAATAAAGATCAGTTTGAAAGACTCAAGGTTTTGAGATGGCTTCGAGTTGTGTCTCCAAATGAGTTGAAGACCGAGGCATTTCCACCGGAGTATTTGTCGCCTGATTAAAGCAATTATGCCCCCGTTTGGCACCCATTTTTTTCTCATTCTCGTTCTCATTCTTTTTCTCTCTCTTCATTTCAACCACACATTCTATCAATAAAATAATATTACACATAAACCTAAAAATTCTTTTTACTTTTTAACCACATTCTTTCATCAATCACTATTCAAAAATACATTTTTCTACTAAAATANCTATTCAAAAATACATTTTTCTACTAAAATAGGTGTCAAACACCCCCTAGTCTACTACGGTTTGTTCTGGTGGAGTTGCATTTCTTTTCCCTTTTTTTTTTTTTGGGTAGAGTCTGTCCCCTCATTCACTATTCAATCTTACTTACCATCTATCTGTGTCCATTCGTACTTCTGAATCTAATATAGTTTAGTGTCCTAAGTTGGGTTTGGTGCACACCTGATTAGACATTGTAAAGAAGTGAGTATAAAATCGTAATAGATATTATATTATGGTGGATTAAGAAGAGTTATATTTTTTGAGTGATCGTTAATTTTTATGAGAAAAGCTCAAAGAATCGCCTAAATTAGGAGTATATCTCTATTTTTTACGAGAACCTAGAGTGCTTATTACTAAGTGTAATATCTCTAAAAACCTTTCGGAGATTAAATACTTCACTAAGCAAACATTTGGCGATCAAACAAATGAAAGGCATTAAGTGCATAACAAGCACACCATGAAGATGAGTAATACAAATTTAGAAGGCAAACATTAAAATTAATCAAGCTAAGGTTAAGCTACATCGATTATCGTAACATTTAGAAGTTTAGCCCATATTAAAAAGGTGACAAGAACTATAAGACAATGAAATATATTATGAAGTTGAGGAAATAAACATAAAATCAAAGATAAATTTTGAAACCCGTCACTTGGTAGGATTTACGGAATGAAATCTTGTTTTCAGCTCCTTCTTCCTCAATTTCCCCAAATGTTCTTCCAAGTTTTTTCTTTTTTTTTGCTCTTGTTCTTTTTCCCAATTTTTTTTAGCATCTCCAAGTTTAGGGGTGGGCATTTTTTCCTGAAACCGGAGGAATAGGATTAGAACCGGTCGATTCGGCTTCGATTCCTTTATTAAATAGATTGATTTTGGGGGCATGTATCGAGAACCGATCGATTTTAGTTTGGTTCTTGGTACCACCTTAAGAGCCGATAGTAAATTCAATTTTTCCTAATTTCTCTTTTTGTTGATATATTTGTTAGGAGTGGATCTCTGCACAAATACTCTCAGCTACATAACAGCTCTGTAGAATTATAGGAGTGAATGCTGTAGTTCCTATTTGTTAGTGTTGGAATTTGATGCCATTTGT